CATATGAGAATCAGATTCATTGGAGGGTCTTGTTTAATAAATATTTCCCTTTAAAAGCAAAAGTACCCTTGTGGAGCGCCACATACAGCTCCATGTTGCTTTTGCTGTTTTGGAAGATCAGTGCCTTATCAAGCCTGTAACTATTATTATTATTATACAGGATTTATATAGCGCCTACGGTTTGCGCAGCGCTTTACAATATACGGAAGACATTACAGTTACAATACAATTCAACAATTCAATACAATTCAACACAGACAAGGTGGTAAGGAAGGCCCTGCCTGCGAGAACTTACAATCGAAAAGGGAAGGGCAATTGATACAAGATGTGGTAGCTGTGTGTCAGACGTCCCAGGGAGCTAGTAGTGAGATGAGGAACCCACTGGCAATAAGCAGCTGACAGTCCAGAAACGCGGTACAAGTTTAGGGATAATCCAAGAGGGGTAGTCAATGTCCAATCTGGGTCGAGGCAGGCAGCGAAGGTTTAAAGGCGGAAGACAGTCCAAGGGTCGGTAATCGGGAAGGATACACAGGGACAACAGGCAATAGGAGGATCAGCAGGGAGGCTAGGTGTTCACCATAAGGTGGAATAACTCAGCAATAAGCCAGAGCTCAGGCCAGGTTTTTATAGCCAGGGGAGGTAGGACCACCCCCTGGTCACCGAGGCAACCAGGAGGCCTCCCTCCCCGGGAACCAATGGCAGGCGAGGAAGATGGAAGGTGTGTACCGGGAACCTCCCCCAGCAAGGCTCACACCTGATAGCCAGATGATGCAGGAACGCTATGCTCCCGGGGATGCGCGCGCATCCTGCATACTGCGCATGCGCCCACGCCGCATGACTCGCGCATGCGCACCTGCACCTCGGGCACCAGGTGTTCTACCGAACTGAAGGGGAACCGGTGCCCTGCGCCGTGCCCGTGGTCCCCGAGTAGAGGTAACACCCCCTGCTTCCTGACACTGTGTGGGGATGAATTTTTGAGAAAGTGAGAGTACACTGGTTAGGTTGAGGTGGGATAGGCTTCCCTGAGGAGATGAGTCTTCAGGGATCACCTAAAGGCAGACAGAGTAGGAATTAGCCATATAGGTTGGGGTAAGGAGTTCCAAAGGATGGGAGAGACTCTGGAGAAGTCCTGGAGCAGAGGAGGAGTTGACGAGGGAGCTAGAGAGCCTGAGGTCTTGGGAGGAGCAGAGAAGACAGTTAGGGTGATACTTTGAAATGAGGTTGGAGATACAGCTGGGAGAAGAGTTGTGAATGGCTTGTAAGTGTGTGTTAATCATTTTAATCTTATCCTTTGGGTGATTGGAAGCCAGTAATGAAGCAGCAGCTCCTGATCATTATGGCAGTGAGACTCATGTCTGACACTCAGCTGACTGTTCTGCATGCACAAAGTGGTCAATGGTTGCAAGATACATTCAATGGAGACAGCATGATGATTCCTGTTCAGCTTAGTTATTTAACGTCTGTCCAGTTAAAAAGGTGGACATATTTATATCCAGTAGTTATGGTGTCACTCTAGCAAAGATAAATAAGATTAATGCTGAACCATCTGTTTCTTGAAGCTGGCTGCATTGGAATAACAAATTTAGATAGTAAGCTCTCATGGGCAGGGCCCTCCTAGTCATCTTTTCTTGAATTGTATTGTAACTGTAATGTCTTCCCTTTACTGTGCAGTGCTGCATAAACTGTTGGCGCTATATAAATCCCGTATAATAATAATAATAAATCAGCTTTTAGTGGCGGGTTGGCTGAGCTTAGCCTACAGCACCTGTCCCCCAGCACAAGTAGTTCAGTTAGTGAAACACTGAGGTTGATTTACTAATGGCAAATAGGCTGTTCACTTTACAAGGGAATTTGCACTTTGCAGGGGAATTTTTCCTTTAGCTAAGCCAATGTGGTGAAAATTCACATCGCAAAGAATACCGTGTACTGTGCAAAGAAAAATGTAAAATATACTGTTACTTTGCTTGCGCATGATTGGGTATTAGAAGTTGGAAGAGCTTCACCTCATTTACTAAGCTAAGGAAAAATTCCCTTGGAAAGTAAACAGCCTATTTGCCTTTATAAAGTCAACCTCCGTGTCTCAGACAGATGCAAAGATACCAGGAGTTAGGAGCCTGGTGTGCGGGATACGGAGGAGAGCTTCTCTTTCAGAGACTCCCACTTGGGTTTGGTCAGGAAGTATCTCCGAGAGCTAGAAGTCATCAGATATACTTTGACATTGTCTGGCAATGAATGAGAGAAAGAGACCCCAACCCAATGCTGTCAGTTACTGAGATCTAGCACATGCTTCTTCATACACGCAGATGGGCGTGTCATGCACTAAATTGGATAATTGAGTTTTAAAATTTGATCCCAATCATGGAGAGCTTCAGATTCCCCAAAAGTATCTTTCCTAATCAGCAATGAATGGTGATTACACCATTTTAGAACTCAATTAAATGTGTGACTGAGAATGATATTTTACCCCTTTGTAACCGTAATGTGTTATTATTGCATTCCCACAATGTGTGCTTTTAGCTTTGTAGCTGGTATGACCGTGTAGCACTTCTTGTTTGGAAAGAGTTAACCATCTAGTCCTCATCTTGATTTAATAAGTTACACAATAAAGCGGATAATCTCTCTGAAGTGAAATCCTTCCAGACTGAGCTTTTAGCAGGGTGCCTTAAAATAGTTTGTGGGGGTAGGGGTGGTGGGGGTAGCTTGGGCCGTGTTCAAATATGAGGCAGGGCTTCAAACTGAAAGTTTAATGTCTTAAGATGGAAATAGCTGAGAATATGGAACAGCGGCATTCTTGGAGTGCACACTCTTTGCTATTTTTTCTGCTTGTTGCAAAGTTTCAGTGTTGCAGGTACAATTTAAAGGAAAAATACACTTTCCTTTCCCAAAAATATTTGGGACATAGTTGAAACACAAGTCATATTGTAATGCAGTGTTATTAAAATGTAATTTCAATTTCAAAGTTTTTATTCGGGTTTTTCACAAACGTGGGTCCATATACATAACTTCGGAACCCTGCATTACATATATCACTGAGTATACAGATGATAACTTATTTAACTGGTGTAATTATACATAGTCCTGTATTACATTGTATACGAGGAGATTATATTGAGCAACCAATCGAAGCTAGGTTGGAGCAACCTTAACATAAAAGTTCTAACGTCTGCTCAATTCAGAGAGTCAACATTCTAAATTATCATGTGCCTAGAGTTATGGTAGTCCAGAGTCCCCGAAAAGGGAGAAAGAACAAAAGAAAAAGGGTGTGTGGGGGGGGGAGTCAGGGAGGATTCGGAGAGGGTGTAGGACAGAATGAGAGGAAAGTGGGGGAGGGAGGGGGGTTGGATCTTGCTACTTTAATGACACTCCATATGGAGCATCGCCAGTAGGAGAGTAGTTGCTTTAAACCTTCAGGGGGGTGGTCTCCTTACCAGCTCAATAAGACCTCCTTATATGCCACAAAGGCTAGATTCGGACATGTTAGGGTGTTGGAGCTGTATCCATGGTTCCCATACCCTTAGGAACACGGGTTGTTTGTCAACCAATATGCTTGTCAAGCGTTCATTCAACATGATACTGTCCATTCTAGATATAAATTCCCTGTATGGTGTTTGTTGCTTCTTCCAACTACCAGCCAGTGTTAACTTGGCTGCTAGAAGGGTGAAGTGGGAAAGTGTCCGTTGGTGCTTATTTAATCCAGGTATACTTGAGTGAAAAAGAGCACATTTTAGGTCCCTTACAATGTGAACTTGGAATAGTTTGATCAGTAATTTAAATATTTTGGACCAGAAAATGGTAACGAACGGACACTTCCACCAAGTATGAAGCATGTCACCCCGCATATTGGACCCACGAAAGCAGCAGCCCAAGAGCGCCGCTCCCATGTGTGCAGTACGAGACGGCACCATGTACCACCTCATGAGCACCTTATATGCCACTTCCGCGTTTGTAATATTAAGAGAGCAGCCAGCCATGTTATGCCACATATGTTGCCAATCCTCTGCCGTCCAAGATGCCCCTATATCCTTCTCCCAATTCTGGATCATTAAAATGTCATTTAATTAAATTATGTTACTAGCTATTGGAACACTAACCTAACTGATATTTATCATGCTGCTTAAGTAATTGGTTTTCCCAGCAGTCTGCATAGAGCTTAATGTCAAATTATAGGCAACTTCTGCAGCAGGATCTTAATCTTTAGTACAATATCTTCAGTGTAGTTGCAACATTTCTTTTTACAGCATTGAGCCTGATCTGGTAAAATTAGTAAAGACCAGTGCCGGATTTCCCACAAGACCACCGAGGTCCGGCCTTGAGGTAGCAGGGAGTAGAGGGGGAAGCAGGGGTGTGGAATTCCTATCGCCCAAAGCCCGGGACATGCTGTTCCAGGCACTGGGCGGGCAGTTTTTTTCTACATTTAGCCCTGCTTTGGGCAAGCAGGTTAAAATGTACAGTGGGGAAGCAGTCACTTATTTTGTACAAGTGATCTCAGAGATCTGAATAGCTCCTTCCAAGTCTCTCAGCTCAGCTTCCCTGAGCTTCCTGTCCAGTACAAGATCCCAAAGTGCAGAGCAGACTCCAGCAACTATTCATCTACTAGCTTGAAGAAGGGAAGAGGGAGGTAAGGGGGACAGTGGAGAGGGAAGTAGCTTGATTTGCACTCTGCTTCAGAAAGGAGTCACTCTAAAACAGCAAGTCAGGGCCAATGCTCAGGGGACCAACTGATTCTGCAGGAAACTAAAACTTTTAAACATCAAGGAGTAGCATTCAAGTGATTGTTTGAAATAGCTTAAACTCCTTTTGACTTTAATATCACTTTAATGTACCTGCTATTAAACAGAACTCCAGCAGATTTTGAAAGTCTTGATGGTAAATTGGAAAATGAATACTGTTATGCATGGGGCTCCACCCACTCATCAATGAATGATCTTTTAAATCTGTAATATGAATGAATGCCAGCTGCCACACTAACATTACTAATGAGTGATCATTGTCTTCTGCAGGCTGCTGAATACCTCCGCCTCCTACTTCAGTTCAATGACATGGGATTTCAGCAAGAAGACATCAAAGAAGTTCTCTTAGTTTACGACAATCACAGAGATCGATCCCTAGAGGAACTCATGATGAGAGCACAGTGAACGCAAAACAAAGTGTAGCTTAAGACCGAGGTATACCAGTCACTGGAATAAAATGTGCTTAGCACTTCTAGTTCAGAAAAATCTAAAATGGTGTTTTCAAAAGGTTTTGGCTAAAAGAAAAATGGTGGCATCATGCTAAGCAAACAATTTATTAACACTTCCACATAGTAGCTACTTTGAACGATAAATTCCAAGATTACCAATGGAAAGCACTTAAATACACATGGAGCAAAACATGGTGGCATACAAAAGCATACATTCTACTGTACCATCAATACCATATGCATGCTCAAAGATTGATAAATGGTGAAGATAATATAATTGGTGTCCTGTTGATATGATAAAGAGCCAAAGAATCACATAGACATATTAGTATGAGCCCACATACCAACCAATAACTTCTCACTACACAAATCTGAAATTGATACTCAGAAGAATGTTAAGGACACCACTTTACACTGCCAAAAATCTTGCAAGGCCTCCTGGTGTATCAAGCCACCGACCCCATAATTTATCACATTTCTTAGTTATTTCTTGATGAGCATTTATATATGGTATTAATTTAGTCTTTTATACTTGCAGGGTAAGGGAGTATAGTTCCAATAATGTACCAACTTTGGGCAGAGCCACTGTATATGCAATACATTTCCATGTTTATTTTCACACCTTAGGCACGGGGGATCTGAACAAGAAAATGTGCATTTTTTAGCAACTGTTTTCCCATACCTACATTTCAAAGCGAGATGTTACATTGTAAAATTGGCAACATCATCAGGACCTTTAAAGAGTGCTGGGTGTGGGTTGGATCCTCCATGCCCCTCACATCTTTTTCTGTAAATGTGGGCATTCAGGGAAGACTACACCTTCCATGATTCAATCCCACTATGTATCAAGTATGCAGAGATAGTGGACGGTGGGCTGCTAACCAGATGAAGGGACTGATAGGTGGGTTACCAATCAAAAGAAGGGGCTGGAAGGGTGGACTGTCAGAAAATGTTGATGGAAGCTCCACCCACTCCAGGCAACACTGACATAATTATGCCAGTGCTGCATGTGCAGTAGAAACAAGGGATGGTTCGGAGAACGGTCACAGTGTGCTTGAAGACAATATAGCAGTGACTGGTATTTACAGCTGGATCATGCCCAGAGGCAGAATTAAGCTAAAGTTTCTTTCACAAAATGTTTATTGTTTTAACAAGGTAAAAACACATTTTAGGAACAACAGTGATTATATAAGCTGATGCAGCAGCTGAACTGTTAGCAAGGGTTCATATGGTCCATAGCGAGGGATGTAGAGAGACAGTAGTTGGGTTATGGTAACCTTGATATGGGGTCATGTACTGGGGCCCAGGGGGCTACTGGCATTTGATAACTTATCAGCAGCAATAGCCTATGGTCATTGTGAAGCTGATTGGTCATGTAAGGTCTTAGCATTGGATGAGAGTGCACCATCTGTATGGTTCCAGAGTGGGGGGGTGGGGTCCCAGGGAATGGGTTTAAACATTCTAGGAAGGTGGTCATTGGGAAGAGGAGAGGAAAAGGGGGAGGTCTAAAGGTAAGAAAGGTAGAGGCAAAGGGGGATTAGGTAGAAAAGAAAGAAAATTAAAATAAAAACAGAGAGGAGATAGAATAAGATAGCATTGAGGAAAACAGAAGGTGGAGGCAAGGCCACCTAAAGCATAAGGGGGGTGGTTTAGGAAGTGGCAAGAGATGTATCATAGTTCTCAGGACTAGCATATGAAATCCATATTTCAAATTTGGCTCAAGTTTGCTACTTTTGATTAAAAATTACAGCAAAACTGACTACATTCATTTATTTTGGAAGTCAACTTTAAAGCTCAATGTCAATCATAATGAGTATTAGATAGAGAGTTAGAATCCCGGTCAGCTTCAAAATGCTGTCTGCATCCTGCCGTAGTTGGGGAGATTTAACCTCAGTTCCTGTCTCCTCCTGTTGACCCTATTTTCCATATTCTGTAGGGGGTAAAGTAAATGAAAACTAACTTTATACATGAAATGATTTCCTTTAGCACTGTATTGTACTATTGAAGAACTCATTGTAAATAAGCGTTTATAATTTGGTATTTATATGAAGCCTGTACTTAATGTGGAGCGCAGTGTTCTTTTCTGCAAAATAAATAATGACAATGATATTCAGCGGTTGTCTGTCAATTTAAACATGTGTAACTTTAAGTTATTCTGCTGTGATGTTCATCTCTAAAACAGATCCCATGGTAAGTGACAGAAGCTTTCTGGGAACTTATTACTGATGATAACATACATCCTGTTCCATCAAATAAGCAGCCCGTGACCCTTTACTCAATCTTATTGTAGTCAAGAGTGATATGACACAATATGCTATTAATACAGAACATTCATACAAATGCTTTGTTTTGTTCATTTCATGAATTTAAAAGATGAATTGTCAAGTTTATTAAATGGAGATATGAAGGAGGATGGCCATAGCAATAATAGTCAAATGTGGACAACATTTCTGCTTCCTATGCTTTATATTAACGTAAGTGCAATCAGCAAAACACTGACACTGTATAGACAGTGATCCAGGCTCATTCAACCTGGAACTAATTGTTCTTAATAAGAACGTGTATTTTAAACATTTAACATATAAGCCCAGCCTGGGGGCGGAAACCACGATATACCTGACATCACTGTTATTGACCTGCATTAGCATCAACGCAAGTCACCACAAGGGTACATAGAAAACTATTGTCTTCTATGTGCCACATTCACACCACAACAGAGCGGAGAGGTGCAGAAAAATTCAGCATGTCTGCATTTTTCCATATCTCACCTGAACTCCTTTTCTGTCTTCACACCATAGATGCACTCGGTGGATAGAAAATAATGAAATTTCACTTTGTGACATTTTAATGAAGTAAAAAAAAAAAAAAAAAAGGTAAACAGTAGCTTCCATTGTAAAAACGTAAGGCACTGCCCCCCACCGCTGCCACTGACTTTCCCTGACTTCATGACTAAGCCCTGTCATCTGCCATTCCACTCTCCAGTGAGTCAGTAAAGCATCTATGGTTCAAATTTCATCAAATTCCTCCTGAATCAACCAAAATTCAAGCCATGGGTGGCCCTGTCAGCACCAGATGAAAAAAAGTCAGCCAAACAGTAAATGCATCAAATCAGAATAAACCCGGCAGAGGAGATTAAGGCCTTTCCCCCACTTCACTTACAACCATGGATGGGGTAATCGAGTTGTTTCATTCAGTAGGTGGCAGTGGGCAGAGCTTAGTCAGGAAAAGTCAGGCGCCCTAGTAACAGGTTAAATCTAAATTGGAGAAAGGCACCGATGTAGCTTTTCTGGATGAAGATAATAGTAAACACATCATTGTGTCTTCCCTTAGGCAGAACTCCTACTCATCATAGTTACGGATCCACCATGAGGTATGCAAGGCAGGTAAAATGTAGGCCTGAGCTCTTAATCTTAGTCAAGAATTCCATAATAGAGCAATGTATTCAAGAATGTCTCCGCACAAATAATTAACTTTTCAAAATGTAGTGTAAATGAAATCTAAAGGTACCACATGATACATAATACAACGTTTATTCATACATGATTTTAGAAGATGTGATTGGCAGACTAAAGTCTGCTGATAGCAGTACCCTGGTATGTGATCAGTCTTATACTCTAAACTGCTTAGCAGCATTTACACTACAGGTAAATATGTAGATTTTATTGTGCTATTAATCATTTCTATAGCTGTGCTATACTGCTGCTATCCACTTAGTTGTGACCATAGGATAAAAGGGCATCTCACATTTACATTCAATGGGCCAGCCCACCTGAAAGACATATTTGTAGGCAGAACCTGGTGGGCTATGCCGGTTCTTTGCTTCTCATACCTTGAAGGGAATTCATAAAAACTGGAGCAGTTGCTCATGTCAACCAATCAGCTTCTCTCTTTGATTTCCTAAGCTTAACTGAACTAACTAAAGAGAGAATCTGGTTGGTTGCTGTAAGAAAAAAGTGTCTGCTCCAGTTTTCACAAAATCCCCCAGTATATCTCGGGTACTCCAACAGTGAGATCTCCATCAAAACAATCCCTGTCACCTGAAATGTTTAATGCCCATGTGCCCCAGGCGCCCCATGTTACCTATAGTATAAAATCAAATAATCCATCAAGAAGAGTAGGGAACCATCATATTAGGCTCAGCAGCAGGATACAGATCCTGGTAATTCAAGAGCAGATATCTCACCTACTGAGACCCCAAAAAACTCTTCCACTGTCAGGTGGGTTCACTCTCCTTCATCTACCAAAAACTGAAATTTATTTTTTGGGTGAAATGACCATTAAGGGAAAATTTCAAGTTCAGATGACACCAATAAAACTTAGTAGATGGGACTCACCTTATTTTTTATGTTTAATACCTTTATATCAATTTTCAAAAAAAGATTTACAATAAAAGCGTAACAATCAAGGTAAGTTCGACAGCTTGAAGATCGGCTGTAACACTCCATACAGCATACAATACAATTGGACAATTTGCAATATTACATGCATTACATAAGCCCCGGCATGTGAGAATCCAAATGAATGGGGGGTAACCGAGCATGCACTTCCAGATGCCCCCCACCCCAGGCCTCTATACAGTCAAGTGCGCATACCCAAGAAGAAAAAGTGAAGGATAAGTGGGATTCAATTTATTTTTATTACAATTATACCACATCCCTTTTTTTCCCCTCAACCTTCACTTCTCAAGTAATCAATAAAAACTGTGAACATAATGCAGAGATGCTATTAGGACATCTGATGCCTTAGATAACACTACAATCTACACTACAGTAATAGATGCTAAATGGCCCAGCACTTACACCAGATGTCGAATACTGGGAATGTGAACTAGATGTATTATACACAAGAACATATCCGAGACTGCAGGGCTGGAGTTAATCTTTGGAGGTGATTATGTTGATGATGGGTAGCGCTTAAGTACAGTACATTAGCCCATAATAAGAATGTTATTTTAAG